AAATAAATAAAATCTTTAAAAAAAAAAAGAATATCTAAAAAAAAAAAAAAAAAGAGATAAAACTTCAAGTTTGGGAGATTTAGGGCTTGAGACCTAAACAATCTGTGAATCAGCTTGTGATCAAGTTTGTACCTCTGCAAAATTTTAAACTGTGGCACGTGACAGACCCTGTCACTCATCAAGACTCTTAACTCCTTGAATGTCAGTGGGTCTGTTGACTCTCTCTATATTGTTGTCATCTTCATTTGTATGTCCCAGGTAAAACCTGTTTGTACCCCCTCTTTGCCAAACCATTTCCCCTTTCCATTGCATTTGGAGGTACCCCATCCAGTCTTAGAAACCTGTCTCAAGTCCTGCTGTCCTTTGAAGGCTCTCCTGACTGCATGGGCTCTTGCCCTCCTCTGAATTCTGACTGAACTCACAGGGCCAGACAGGTTGGCCTTTATCATTCTACTGCCAGGTCTGTTTTAGGTGACTTTTCGTCAGAGTGTTCTGTTCATGGTATGTACCCAGTACGGAAGTGTTGGTTTATGTCTTTGGACATGTTGGGAGTATTTTTGTATTTTGCTAGACTTTTCTTGTAGGTTACTTCACACCTGAGTCTTAACCATTTCATTCTCTTACCTATCCTTATTTCTGTTTTTGTTTTGGGATTTAAATAGGTACCTGGCTTGGTGACTTTAAAGAAGCTGTCTTGCGTTAGTTTTGCTGGTGTTGATAGTCTGGATGATGTTAAAAATCATACATATAATGAATTATTTGTATCTGGCGGTTTTATTGTGTCTGATGAATCCATTCTAAATCCAGAAGTTATCACAATTGGTAAGATTTACGCTTTATTTGGAGCACAAACTTTTGTCCTTTCTAGGTTTTTTTCTTCTCATTAACGACTCATGCTTTTTAAATGTATTGTTCTCTCTGATTGGCCGAATGGATGAGTACATTTCCAAAATTTTCTTTTTATTACTTCAAATTTCTTTGTCTCTTAGTCACTGCAAATAATTTCCTCTAAATCTAATGTAAAGCAAGTCTCTCTGCACCTATTGCACTTGGATCCCTTCTGCTTTGTTACTGTTGTCAGCATGTTCTTTTTTTTTGTTATGTAGATGTTCTTAAATCTAAGAGTATATCTGTCTCCCTTCGAAGGGAAAATACTGCAAAGGAAAGTAGATATTCCTATATAGTATCAACAAACATTTCTTCCATAATTCATTTGAGTGACTGTTATATATTGAATTTTAAAATGAACTTCATTATCTCTAACAGAGAACCTTAAAAATTTTTTGACATTCCTCGAAGAACTCAGTACTCCGGAAGGAAAATGGCAATGGAAAGTCCACTGTAAATTTCAGAAAAAACTAAAGGAATTGGGCAGGTAAGATTTGAAAAGTAACTATATAATGGTTGATGTCTACATTGTGTTCATAAAATTTCTTTCTCTGTTTTTCTGTGTTTATATAGATTGTGGATGTTGCTCAGTTTTCACAGATTTCCTTAGCCACTCATAAGGGGGAATGTAGTTATTATTCTAGCCTATTTGGAAATACTATTCTTATTTAGGAAGAAGCGCTAAAGTTGAAGTTCTAGTTAGGTATATAGGTAAAATTGGTTTAATCTTTGCCACTTGAGGGTTTAGAATAATTGTCAAAACGGAATAGTCAGCACTCTATTTTTTTACCAAACTATATATGCCAACTAGATCAGGCTCTCTTCCAGTTAAGGACTACACCGTAGGCAGCTAATCTATTTACACACATACTGAGACATTAATCACAACATGGTAAGGGGATTTGTGATTAGGACATTCATTTATGTAAGTAGTTGATTTCCAAAATGCCCAGTGATCCTTGGATTACTAGTCCACTTGAGAGGCCCCACAAATGATTCTATAATAAGATGAATTTTGGATACTCTTGTCTTACTACTAGAGTCCATGTAGTGTATTTACATATTTAAGGATCTGAGAGACTCTCTAGTTAAGAATTCTGTTTCACATTTTGTCAGCTAGCATTTTTGAAACTTGGGTGGAAAAACATTTTTTCTTCTAATACCTAACACCTTCTAATTCTGTGGAAGACACTTAGGGAAATTCAGGTTTAAATAATTGAAAAGTATTTAACTCTTTGTAGTAATTCACTTTAAAAAACTTGTTTTATCTTCAAATTATGTGAAAATAGGCATTGGAAAAGCCTTTACCTTTGTGTAACAGATAACAGTAATCAGATAATAATGAGGCCCAAAGGTGTGGCTTTGGTGCAAAGTTAATACGCTTATTTTCCTGACAACAGTAATTTCTACCACTTGTTGCTTTGTGCTTGGAGGTGTAGAAATAGCTTCAAGCCATGTATTTTTCTGAAAGAAAGATTTCTATTTTTTTGTCCTGTGCCCTTTGTTCACATTCTGAATTAGTAAAGCTAAAGGGGGAAGTGTTATTTAGTTAAGTACAGTGAGATTTTAGTCTAAAGCTGAATGGCTGGCTCTCAGGCTTTCCACCCATAAAAAGCCCCTGGACTTAAATGTGGGTTGCACAATTCCTGCTCCCCTCTCTCTCCTAGGAAGCACCCGTCCATCAGGCAGTGAACTAAAGCAGTGCAATTGTCATTGGTTGCCTCAATTGAGAAATTATGGTTTTAATTTGAAGCAAAAACGTCCATACTAAATTTTAGAAATGCAGATCCAGATATTGAACTACTTACTTCCACAGATTGAATGCTAAAGCTCTAAGTCTGTTGACACTTCTGAATGTCTATCAGAAGAAACATCTGGTTGAAATTTTGTCATACCACAATTGTGATTCACAAACTCGAAATGCTCCAGAATTGGATTGCCTTATCAGACTTCAGGCTCAGAACATACAGCAGCGACACATAGTCTTTCTAACAGGTAAAGAGTGCCGCCTTAAGCTTTCTACTATGAATGTAGGAATGTGGATGGAAGCGTTTTGTTGCTGTTAGTGGGTGTTAAGCACTTTCATGGGGGCGGGGGCTGGCATCATCCTGTCTCTCCATGTAGGTTTTCACATGTTTTATACTCGAACCTTTTTATTTTTATTTAGAAAAGAACATCAAGATGCTTTCCAGTTATACAGATAATGGAATAGTGGTTGCAACTACTGAAGACTTTATGCAAAACTTTAAAAATCTTGTGGGCTATCACAACTCAATCACAGAAGAAAACCTTCCACTGCTTGGTGCTAATGAGAATCTTGAGTCGCAGTCAGGTAACTTTTCAGTAGTTTTACTTTTCTTTAAGGCAGACAGAAAAAGAGGAATGGTTTTGTGTCGTTTTCATAGAACAAAATGCCTCCTTTGAAACTACTCGCCCTCCGCGTAAACAGCTTCAGGGGAAGTGTTTCAAGGCACTTAACTGTTCTTATACTTAGCATATACAAAATTTGCTCATTTATTATACTGTAGTCAGTACAAACTGTTAAGTATGCTACCAGAGTAGGCATTTTCTTTTTGAGGGTATATAAACTTTATCGGCTGCTGTTGTCAGCAAAGGGGTTCTGTTTTTATAAAGGAGGACACCAAGTAATGGGGAATTTAGTATTGGGCTACAGACTCTCCCCAGATGTATACAGCAATTTAAGTGCAGGGTAGTAGGGATATATCCATAGCTTTAGTGCTTTGTGAGATGGCCTCTGCTTTGGTTCCAGGTTTTATGTTAAATGAAAGATGTACGTACTTTGTTTTTGATGAAAAGCAGAGATGATCAAACATTTGCTAGAACTAACCAGTTTAGTCATAATCCAATGAAGCTAGATGTCAAAATTTTTATTTTTTATTTGTCTTGTCAAATACTGAATTACCGTGTAACTTTAGATGCTGTTTTGACATTAACCCCTTTGGAGCTGGGAGTTGGGATTTCCCAACATTAAACGTGAACACATTTCGCAGAAGCTTTTAGCATCGGATTATCTGGACATTCACACCTAGTGTGAGTGTTGTGACTAAGTGAACTTGTGGCAGAAGACCAAGCTTTAAGGGATTGTGGACTTGCAGACCCTGACGCATTATATTGTGTGAGTAGTGTATAATTTTAAAACTTAAACAAATTGTGTATTTCAATAGAGGAGGACTTTTTGTTTTTTAAATGTAGCTCTTTTAGAAAACGATGAAAAGGATGAAGAGGATATGTCTCTGGATTCAGGGGATGAAATCTCACAAATAGAAGTATGCAGCAATTTTCATTCAGAAATATTGGCGAAAGAGACCAAAGGATCACGTGGAACAGATCAAAATAAGAATATTCAAATTGAGTTGCAATCGTCTCTTGACGTGCAAAAAAGTTTATTAGAAGATAAGACTTATCAAATTGATTCTGAAGAGAGCGCTTCTGTTGCTATAGTATGCTCTGAAGGAGAGAACAGCAGTGCAACTGAACAAGATTCATATAGCAACTTTCAGGTTTATCACAGTCAATTAAATATGTCCCATCAGTTTAGTCATTTTAATGTTCTCACTCATCAGACATTTCTGGGGACACCATATGCCCTTTCATCAAGTCAGTCTCAAGAAAGTGAAAATTACTTTTTATCTGCTTACACTCAAAGCTTGGATAGAGCTAAATCTCCATCTCCATTAAGTTGGGGGAAAAGTGATTCTTCCAGGCCCTTTTCAAAAGAGAAATAATTATAGTAACTTTTTTTTTTTTTGAAATAGGTTGTTACGAACTTTTTCTGTTATAAGTGAATTAACAATTTATATTTCATTCTCTAAACAAAACGTTTCTTGTCCTTCCTCAATGTTTTTTTTCCTCTTATTTAAATCATGATGGCCTGTAACAGTTGAAGCATCTGAAAATTGAAATAAATATATATATTTTTAACATATATTGTACTTGAATTATCTCATGTTGGCACTTTTTAAGTTTTACATATATATGTTACCTGTACTTGGGCTTCAAATTGAAGCCTGTTTTATATATAAAATTAGACAATTTGCAAAAGGATAGTGAACAATGCCTTTTCTTTTTCTCCCCCCCGGTTAGATGATACCAACTACTTTTGCTGAAGTGACATACCAATCGACTATTGTTAAGCTTTTGTATAGTGTTTATACAGGTATAAGCCAGTGATGTCAATAGATATAAAGGATTTTGGCTCAATACTTCAAGATTTATCTAACAATGAATGCAGTTTCAGTTTAGATGATAAACTATGTAACATAAGACTTAAGACTTAATGCCAGGCAGCATTATTTTTATCTTTAGGCTTAGCCATGTAAAAATTGCCTATTGGTAAAATTTTGGGTCAACCTTTTATTTGAGGTATTTGATGATTACAATTTTCAATGCTTAGTATGGTCCTTGACTTAACCAAATGCAATTTCATATTTCCAAAAGATGGGCTTCTGTTATATTAAAGGCACTGAACAAATCTGGAACAACTCTGCTATAGATTTTTGAATTCGTAGTCTTAGAAAAATGTAAGTATATTTTTGAGGTGGTGAAAATTTAAGTGCTTTACTAAAAATAACAATTCACAGATAAAGTATATGGTCAATTTTAAAACCGTTATCTATTGCTAACAACTGTCTGCATTAGAAATGCAAACTTGTAAAATGTTTTTGTAAAGTCCTAAAAACAGGAATTATAGAAAAGAAATACTGAGCTATTTTAAAGTTAAGTCAGACCTTCCTTTGGCCCCTCAGAAGAACTTGGAAGAGTTCTAACCTCTTAAATCTTTTTATAGAACAAATACCTAAGTGGTATTTCAGTAATAAGCTACGTAAGTGTAGAAGAACGTGGTCTGTGAACAGGTCAGAAACCTGTCTTAAGGTAAGTAGAAAGTGTTTAAATACCTAGATTGTGATAGAGCAGAAAATGTTTTTTTTACTAACCTTTACAAAAATGTCTGTTTTATTGTAAAAAACATATATACACAGCGTTGTACTACATAATGTACAAGTTTTAAATAAGCATTTTTAAAATAAATCCAGGTTATTTGGAAAATACAGTTATGCAATGAACACATTTTATAATTCAGAAGCAACAAATGTGAAGGATTTGATATTCTACATTTAAAACGAAGAATTAAAATTCTCTTCTTGATTTGCAGCTAAAGGCATGAGATTAGTTTCCAACTCCCTTTGCTTCTGGAGAAGGCCCTGAAATCACATTGATATGTTAGGAAGCAGCAGACTTGCAAATTATTCCTATTTTACATTTCAGTCCTGCTAATCCAGAATTATATTTACTTTACTTTGAAAACCTGTAATCAATCAGTTCAGTTACTTGGCCATAGCTTTATCTTTGTCACGTTGAATTTTAACCACTCAAAAGACCTACATCAGACTTTCTCACTTGGATATTGTGTAGCTATTACATACGTGTAAGATTATGTTTTTAGTATAAAAACCAATAAGGATGACTCTTCCAAGTCTCCGTAACTATGGGGCTGAAATCCCCTAAAGGCTCTTAAAATGGTAATGAGACACACTGAAGGAGTCTCCCTTAAATAACATCCAGTTTATCTTGACTGCACTAACCTTAGTGGCTTAGACAAGGCCCTGCTGAAATAAGATGTGGCTACTATACAGGTGGGTCACTATATACATGGTATATATTCCTGCCTCTTGACCTCACAACTTTTACCTCTATTTAAAAAAGTGCCTTGTCACTTTAAAGGAAAATTGGAAATATTACTGCTTGTTACATAATCTATATGTAACCAAAGCTAGCATTAAAGAACTAAAGGATACTTTCTATATAATTCTGTTATTGTGATTTTCTAACTCTATGTGAACAAATTGGGTAAGCAACACTTGGATCGACAATTTGAAATGCAAGAGGCATATGTAAATGACTGGACATGAAAAAGGGCACTCCTAAAGTGGCAGTTTATTTTTCCTAAGATTAGGGATAGGTATTTAAAGGCCAGCTGATAAAGGTTATAGCCTTAAATATTGAATGTGTTACTAGATTTTATTTTTGCCTGAGCAAGCTAATGAGAAGTGACAATAACTGATGATCTGGGAGGAGAAGATGTATGTAGTCTGATGGGTAAGACGTTACGTGTATACTTTCACACCAAATTTTATTATTCTTTGGGACTTGCATCAATATTCTGTTCTGAACACTGCCAACACATTCAATTAAAAAAAAACTGCATTACTAAGAATTTATTAAAGCATAATTTTGTATTTTCTGTCAGGGTTTATTTCATGTTTACCCTTTCAAATGTATGTTTTTCATTAAATAAAATTGTCTTAATATTACAACTGTCTCATGATTTCATACTGGAGTATTTAAGATGGCAATGTGAATCAAATTGAAGGAAAGAACTTTTAAGATTAATATACAAGTGAATTTTTTTTAACTGGGATGTGTTCAATTAGGCCTTTAAAGTAAAATAGCCCTTCCAATATATAGCCCTCCATTAGCCATACACAGAAAAGTTACATCCAAACTTGGTGAAAAAGCTCCTACCTGTCTCAGTTCCGATAGTCCCTTAAGGATTGCTTGCTGTCTATCCCTGTTTTTCACCAAGTTAGGATTAAGAAGTGGGTCCCTGACATCAGAATCAAATAGCTTCAGGTGTTCTTGGTCACAGTCTGAAGACAGAAGAAAGTGGTATAAGTCAAATACAATCTCTAAAATGAAAAATTTAGTAAAGTCTCTGCCTTTGGCTCAGGTCATGATCCCAGGACCCTGGGATCGAGCCCCACATTGGGCTCCCTGCTCAGCAGGAAGCCTGTTCTCCCTCTCCCACTCCCCCTGCTTGTGTTCCTGCTCTCGCGCTATCAAATAAAATCTTTAAAAAAAAAAAATTTAGTAACGGACCCCAAAAGAGAAATTCTACCCCTCCTGACTAAGGGCAAGAATATTAGTTTGGATTCTGAATTTAGTGTTGGGGGAAAGGGATACTTCTGTTTACTTACCATGTGAAGTTTGGTACTGAAGATCCTGGGTTAAAGGCCTAGACAGAGGTGCATCTGGATCAAGGTAATAAATCTCATTGGTTCGGACATAGGGGATAAAATGAGATGGTTCAGAAAGACCAGGTGATGTTTCTGTTTGACTATCTTCTAAGATCAGATTCTCTCTTTCATAATTACTGTTTTTTAGTGTCTGAGTTTGTTGTGTTCTGTTTTTCACCACTGGAACTGGTGGTGGTGACTGAGACCTGTTTTTTTCAAAAAAGCACAATTAAGGACTAAGAGGCTTTAATGCAAAATTATGTATTTTAAATTAAGCATATCTACTCTTTAATCACATTTCAATTTAGTCTACAATGTAACACCTTAAGGAACACTAGGAATAGAAGTGAGTTCTATGACACTTTTCCTAAAATGGCAACAGAATAGGAAGACTTTACTTGGCAAGGATATATACAGTATAGAGGAAAAGTGAGGATCAACACTAGGTGGGCTGATTTAAGCCCAATGTTTCTTCTCCTTAGATAATTCACAATAATCTACTTACCATGCGAACCAAACTTCTTGTTAGAGCCACATTCCTACACAACTCTAAACCACCTGGTTCATGCACAAAGGCACAGGATAAAATTCCTAACCATCTAAATCTGGTTAAATGAACTAGTATCCCTACTAGTCATTTCTTCATAACCTCCTCAATCCAAGCAGAAAGGCTATTCCACTGTTGATATCACTGGAAAATCAAAACTGTTTTATTTTTATTTTAAAGATTTATTTGGTGGGGAGAGTCCCAAGCAGAGTTGGCGCTAAGCACAGAGCCTGACGGGCTCAATCCCATGACCCCGAGATCATGACCATGACCTCATGAAACCAAGAGTCAGTCACTTAACTGACTGAGCCAGCCAGGTGCCCCAAGTCAAAACGATTTTAGCTAAGTTTGCAGACAATACCTCACCTACATTCCTACCTACATGCTTAGGCCCAGTCCAAATTGGGCCTTCAAATTTCAGGTAAAATGTCAGCCACATTTCCTTATACCTCTATTTCCCACCTCTAAGTCCCTACACTTTCCTGTTACTGACTTCATATATATATATATATACATATATACGTGCTTTGATCTTACCTATATTCTGAGCAAATATTTGTACTTCCTTTGTCCCACACAGCACTAAGTAGCTATGGAATCAATCCAATCCATAACATACCTTTCCTTGCCGAAAGAATTAATTTTCAGAGGCTCTTCTTCCTAAAGGGTAGATAAATGCAGACAGGAGTAACAGTACTGCCATATGTCCCCACAAATATTTTTGAAACCCGGAGAATGAGATAGATTTTCTACTTTTCCAGTCACGGAACCAATGCAGTAATTCCTGACCTTGTAAAATTATCCTCTATCTATATTAACTACAAACGAGTTTTGAATGGCTATTTGAACAATGAATAGCATTAATCTATATAGGGTATAAGTGTCAAGTTTTTCTGTACAGGACCAGATAGTAAACACTTTGGCTTTGTGGGCCATCATGTGGTGGTCTCTTCCAGCTACTCCAAACCAGACACAGACAATTCATAAAAGAATGAGCATGGCTGTGTTCCTATAAAACTTGATTCACAAAAGCAGCAGCATGATGGATTTGCCCACAGGCCGTTTGACAACCCCTGGTATAAACTAAAGCGTATTTCTTAAACTTGAACAGCCTCGTCAAAATAACCATGTGGGTAACTGTTTTCAATCTAGAAACACCAATACATACTTTAAAATATTTTTAAGACAGTAAAGTTTTACCTTTTTGATTAGATGCCACCTGAACCTTGGCTCAGTTTCTTGAGATGAAGGAAGAACTGGTGAAGTGCCTCTATTTTGAGAGAGATGTCCAGGATTATTTCTTTCTACCAAATTAAGCAGTTCCATCTGCCTTCTTACTTTTTTTTCTTCTCTCTGCTTTTGAAGCTGTTTAGGGTACTTTTCTGATGCTGGAATATACCTTTTGAGTGGCTTATTTATATTCCAATCAGGCCTTTTAGGACATTTCTTCATAGGTGTTTTCTCTGTCCTTGCAAACTCATTACACTGATCATTATGCCAACTGTTTTCTTTTTCTAAGTTGACTCCTTTAACCTGATTTATTATAAGTTCCTCTTTGTCTTTCTTAGTGTTAAACTGTTCATTAAATTCTGCAGGAATCTCAGGAGATGAACAATTTAGAATTTCCCTCTCTATTACTGTTCCACAGCATGATTCTGCATTGGTGAGTGTTCCTGTATTTAAGTCATCTAAAGAAAAATTTCAGAGGATTAATTTTTAATTGTAAAACACAATTTATTATTTTAACCATTTTTTTCCAAATTCTATACCCATTAAACAACTTTCCATTCTCCCTACCAGCTTCTAGCAACCACCATTCTACTTTGTTTCTATGATTTTGACTATTCTAAGTACCTCATATAAGTGGAATCATACAGTATTTGTCTATGACAGGCTTGTTTCATATTAGCATAATGTCCTCGAAGTTCAACCATTTATTTGTATATAGCATGTGTCATAATTCCTCCCTTTTTAAGGCTGAGTAATATATACCATTATAGGTGTATACCACACTTTGTTTATCCATTCATCTGCCAAGGGGCATTTGGATTTTCTCCCTTTTAGTTATCGTGACAAATGTTGCTATGAACACTGGTGTCCAAGTATCTCTTCTTACTTTTCACTTCTTTCAGGTATATATCCAGAATGGGAATTGATGGGTCATACAGTAATTATATTTTGAATTTTTTGAGGAAATGCTGTATGTTTTCTATAGTGACTACAGTTTTTACATTACCAATAGTCCACAAGGGTTCTAAATCTTACATTAAACCATTCACTGTACCAAGCAAACCCACAGTGCTGCACAATTTCAGGCCCTTTGACTTACCCCAAACAGAAACCCTGCATCCACTAAGCAGTAACTCCACATTCCACCCTCCCTCCCAACCCCCAGCAACCTCTCTACTTTGCATCTCTATGAATTTGTCCACCCCACCCTAGATTCCTCATACAAGTGGAGCTATAGGATATTTGTGTTTCTGTGCACTCCTCCCTGACCCCATGCCCAGCTTACTTACTCAGCAAGATGCCTAGGTCATCCATGCCACACACTTCAGATGGTTTAGTTTTAAGTAGGCTCCATGCCCAGCGTGGAACCCAATGTGGGGCTTGAACTCACAACCCTAAGACTTTAGCTGAGATCAAGAGTCAGACACTTAATCGACTGAGCCATGCCCCCAGATGATTCATTCTTAGCATCACGTATGACCATTTTTTAAAAAACTTTTCACAGGACTGTCCTAGCTTTCATTGAGAATATACAAAAGCCATATATAATATCATCTTGTATATCTAAGTATTTCTCAGCACAAGTCTAAAATACATTTTTCATATCAATGGTAACTGGCAAAAAATTTTTCATCAGAAACAATGTAAAAAAAATCGAGGTGGTAAGTTTTTTATAACTTGGTTTGAAAATACATAAACATACAGGATCTGGAAAATGTCCTTCTGTTGTCTGAAGCGCTGGGAAAATGTCTTATATCTCCCTCCTTGGAACCAAATTTTAGGGAAATGTTCCTGATGAAAAGTCATGTTGTGTTTTTTGTACTTTTAGATCATATGACTCATATACCATTATATTCTGACTGCAGACCATTGCTGAATCACATACAACATTGGAAAAGTTTACTCAAAGACTTCTGAAATTTCCTTCTTACATGTTTACTGAGGTGTTCAGCTATAACAGCTATGAAACCAGTTGAACAGTTTTACAAAAGGTCTTCTTTCACTCGTGATTAAAATTTTAAATACACAATTAACTAATGAAAAAAGGTCTGTGGTATACATTAAAAAAAATTAATAGTCCAGTTATTGCTCTCTTATCCTGGACACTTACTAGGTGTGTTATTCCAGGCTGGAGATGCTCTAGGACCAATCCCTAGTAAGGCTGCCCAGCCTGCATCATTCTAATACTGGATGTTTTCTTTTGCCACTCTATACCCACTTAACGCCTTTTTCTACCATGACTCTGCCCTGGCAAACTAAACTGGTATGAACCTTATCAATGGGTTCCTGGGTCCTCCAACTTCACAGTCAAGAGGGTTCACTGGCAAAGAGAATGAAGTCAGGATATTTATTGCACCGGCTCATTCCCTGTTTTGATCTGAGGCTAACTCTGTCCCTTTACCAAAGGTCATTGCTCCCCTCAAAGTTACCTTTAACACAACTTTTGCCTTCTAGGTTCTGGTAATCAGCTTAGCTGCTACTAGCACCAAAGTTATGAACTGTCTCTGATTCTCTCACACCCAGTCCTTTGGAAATGGTCCCTTTCTACATAAACCATCTTGAATTACTTGATTCTGGGACCCTGATCAATTAAATTCTCTTATTTAAAGCCACTCGGTGATAATACACATAATTTCATTATCTTAAAGAATTATTTTCACTTTCTCTTAAATAATGTGTAGGATTCATACAATTCAACAGAATTTTCTGGACACAGGGAAGGGACTGAACCAGATTCATCAAGCTTTAAGAGCAAAGTATCAAAAAAAATACCAAGAGCTCATAAGCAGAATAATTTTAGGTAAGTGAGCAGCTGTCAGGTAAATAAGTAACCCAGAGCTTCTCCCTGAGGTGTGATGGGTTTGACCCCTACACTGGGCACCTCAGCTTTTAAGACCTGCTCTTGAAAGAGGAGTTCCCAAAACATCTAGCTTTGAAAGCCAATAGGGCTCATGTCCATGAGACCCACAAAGCTATAGTGGAAGAAAAAAATGGCTACTGTGTGGACTAACTTGCCCCAGGGCCCAGCAAAGAGGCAGCCAACAGTACCCAGAGTTATTAATATAGTAAATGAACTTCTTTCACATAAAGTGTAGGCCTAAGGGGCAGGCATCTAACTTACCACATATCTAGGGACTTACTGTGATACTATTCCAGGGAACTAAGGCTAGCAGGCACTATCTTCATTTAAAACTTTAGGCCTGGGCACCTGGGTGGCTTAGTCGGTTAAGCAGCTGCCTTTGGCTCAGGTCATGATCCCAGGGTCCTGGGTTCAAGTCCTGCATCAGGCTCCCTGCTCAGTGGGGAGTCTGCTTCTCCCTCTACCTCTCTTCCCCCTCTTGCTTGTGATCTCTCGCTATTAAATAATAAAATCTTTTAAAAAAATTAAATAAAAAGTAAAACCCTAGGCCTACCCTGAACCTCTAACAGGTACTACCTTTAGAGTCCCGTCCTCCACCCCCCGCCTCACTCCAACCAGCAGGTGTCATCTTCATGCTTTTCCTGTCTGACTCCAGAGCGCCAATATCTCCTGGAGGGGAACTTTTACACAAGTCTGTTGCCCTGGATTTTATGTCATACCCTGGTTTCTGCAGCTGCTATGTAGGGGGTGCCACTTGATCACCAGGCCCTGGAGGCCAGGGGGCTTCTGCTTGTGGTCCTAGTGGACTGTATATATAAGTTAAAAGCTGCTGCCTGAAGGTCTGGCTTCCATGCAGCCTAAATCTACGTGCTGACTCAGATATTCCCCTCTAGTACACTGACCAGTCTTGGCACACTCAACTACTGGGAGCTTTTAAAAATAAAACTGGCTGCATGGACTATCACAAATGTTTGAGAGACAACCAAAAGCTAGGGTAGGGTTGAACAATAAGGGTCAGTGCCTATGTGAGGCCCTTCCTTCAATCCTGGGAGAGGCAGCTGTTTCACCTGATGCATAGAAACCAAGACAGAGGGGCGGCTGGGTGGCTCAGTCGTTAAGCGTCTGCCTTCGGCTCAGGTCATGATCCCAGGGTCCTGGGATCGAGCCCCGCATCGGGCTCCCTGCTCAGCGGGAAGCCTGCTTCTCCCTCTCCCACTCCCCCTGCTTGTGTTCCTGCTCTCGCTATCTCTCTGTCAAATAAATAAATAAAAATCTTAAAAAATAAATAAATAAACAAATAAATAAATAAAATCTTAAAAACAAAAACAAACCAAGACAGAAAATCTAACAAAATGAAGAAACCAGAGGAATATGTTCCAAACAGGAGAATAAGATAAAACCTCAGGAAAAAAGCCTTAATGAAACAAATAATTTACCTAATAGAGTTCAAAGTAATGGTGATAAAGATGCTCACAGAACTCAAAAGAATGGATAAACACAGCAAAAACTTCAAAAAGAAAATACAAGTATTCAAAGTAACAAATATAAGTCATAGAAATAGACTAACTGAACTGAAAATTACACTAGAAGGATTCAGTAGGAGACTAGATGATACAGAAGAAAGAATCAGTGAGCTCAAAGACAGGATAGTGGAATTCATCCAGAGCATCAAAAAAATAAAAGTGAGGATAGCTCAAGGAACTTACGGGACATCAAACAGACTATTATTCAAATTATATGGAGTCCCAGAAGAGAAAAACGGCAGAGAAAATGGCTGAAAACATCCCTAACCTGGAGAAGAAACAGATAATCCAGATTCAGGAAGCACAGAGAATTCAAAATAAGAAACACAAAGAAACCATCACCAAGATTCATTATGATTAAAATGTCAAAACTTAACGACAAGGAGCATATCTTTAAAACAGTGAGAAAAACAACTTGTTCCATACAAGGAACCCTCATAAAATTGAGATTTTGGGGGCGCCATGTTAGGACGAAGGGTAAGGAGGAGAAGCACTTAAAGTGGCAGGAGCAGTGCGGGAGTGGGGTTGGACCCAGGGCTGAGGCAGCTCCCCCCTACCCACCTCCCTCCCGCCTCAGTGGATCACGTCCAGGGCAGCGGAGTTGGGGGCGGGGGTGGGGTGGGGTGCGTGTGACTGGGCGGTGCCTGTGCAGGAGACTGCTGTTTCCAGTTACAACGCAATGCAGGATCACAACAAACACAGCCACGCCAGAAGCACTACGGCATTACCTCTACCAGCTTAGCAGCCCCCAAGGAGACTGCCTGCTTACACAGACACTAATTGAGACTCTGAAGCCCTTTGGAGTTTTTGAAGAGGAAGAGGAACTGCAGCGCAGGATTTTAATTTGGGGAAAATTAAATAACCTGGTAAAAGAGTGGATATGAGAAATCAGTGAAAGCAAGAATCTTCCACAATCTGTAACTGAAAATGTTGGAGGAAAAATTTTTACATTTGGATCTTACAGATTAGGAGTAAATACAAAAGGTGCCGATATTGATGCGTTATTTGTTGCACCAAGACATTGTGATTGAAGTGACTTTTTCACCTCATTCTATGGTAAGTTGAAATTACAGGA